GTGTGTGTGTGCGCGTGTGCCGGGGGAAGGGGAGGGAGGACCCCTCCCCCGCCAATCAATCAATCAATCAATCAATCAATTAATCAATCAATCAATCAATCAATCAATCAATCAATTAATCAATCAACCAATCAGTCAACCAATCAATCAATTTTTTTTTTTTTTTTCCACACACCAAAAACGACCCCCCAGTAAATTTTCCCTTAAACTTTTTTTTTTCAAGGGGGTAGGACGAGGGTTCCGGAACCCTAATCCGAAACCCCGACCCCCAGCCCCCTCTCCCCTCGGCCGTTGTGGGCAGCGGCATTCCGCGGTTGCCACGGTCATGACCACGACCTCGCGGCCGCAACCGCGGTCCGCGGTCGTGCCCGCGGTGACCGCGGCCGCTGGGGATTCATAGATCTGGACCGCTCCAATTGCGGAAAGAGGAATTTGTGTCCGCTCATTGCACTCTCTAACCGTCAAATCAACTTACCGAATGCTGAGACCTAAACTAAATCTGAGAGATAGACTGGAGTCTAGATATATATGAGGCTATTGAACCTAAGTAAGGTGGCGCTGCGACCTATCAAGTGGTTCAGAACTATTATAGTTAAGCCATCCAAAATGACCTCACTACAATGGCAGATTGGCATCGCTGCCTAGTACCTACCCACATAAGACTGTGGCTCATTGATAGGACCTCCTTAGAACAGAGGAGGTCTTGCATTACCCTGGTGCACATTTTGCGCCTCGACATTCCCATTAAGAAATATCCCCGAAACCATTGATTATATCTTCATCCAGTGCCCAAGGGCGATCTTGTTGTGGAGATGTGGGATAGGATATGGGGTAAAATCAACACTTCGCAGATTTGGCCCTGGGATTGGAAAGCTTTGCTATGTGAAACTTGCCTAATATACTCTCAATTTGTTTAAAATAGGGAGGAGGGCAATCATTTGGGGCTTGTGGCGCCGCTGCTGCACTTTTGAGATGGAAGGCGCGCGGCTTGATGACCCGGAATTTACAGACTCAGTCAAACAGCAAGTTCAAACAGACATTACAACGCAATGGGACAAAGTTGAAGAAAAAATTAAAAATTTGTCATCCATAAAAGAAAATTTTCACCACATTAAAGCACAAGTTCACGGCCCCAGCCTTGCAGCAAAACAAAAACAACTTGTCGTCACAAGATTGTTTTTGCGGCTAGGGCCTACCAGACCACAAGGGCTGGGTGTACTGGTGGTTTAAATAATCCTGTAGTGACTTGCTCGAGAGACCTCAAGGGGAAAAGTTGGGAGAAATTAGGTCGAATGGGGGTAAGGGAGAAAGAGGGAAGTCAGGAAGATCCAAGAGACTATCCGCTAATATTTAATGATTGAACAAATCGGTTCATACTATTCCACTTTGCCCTCCTTCTGATTTTCCTGACCTTTTCCCTCCATCCTCTTTGAGTCTGGTCCCTCTGCGTTGGTACGGTTTAGATTAGGGGAGGTCGTGGTGACTTTACTAAAAGATGTGTTTCTCTTTGTTATTCTTAGTTGGCTGCAGTTGGCTGCAGCAACGCCTCTCCCTAGGTGTTAGTGGTGTCTGCTCTTATCAGCAGCACTAACACTGGCGGGGGTGTTTGGAAAAAAAAAAAAAAAAAAAAAAAGTTGTCTGCAGCGGCCCTAAAATTCCTCATCTGCGGATCCGACACCCTAACGTTGGGTGAAGAGGTAGTTCTCGCTAGTTACAGCCGGCATCTTGGTATGGTCTAATCTGGAAACGTATAGTGTGTAAGGAGATCGAATTTGCTGGGATATTTGTCATATTTGTCATATTTGTCATACTAGCCAGACCAACTTTGCTAGGATATTTATCATTTTTGTCATACTAGGTTGCAGAAGACATACCAGTGCTGAATTTGTAGATCAGGCGCCCTACAGCGGGGTGAAGCGGCATGTTAAGCAGCCTCCAAAAAAACCTTCATTAAAAACTAAGAGTAGAGGAGGAGGCAATCACAATGAACCTGCTCAGTGAGGCCCCCAGTTTCCCTGGGGTAGTCAATGCTGGCAGGGCTATCCAAAATTTTCTTTCAGTTTCCAAAGCATATTTGTATTCAAGGGGACGCTGGACCCGCTTTCCAGCAGGTGTAGCTCCCCACCAATACTAGATTGGAGCTACCCGAACTCTTACCGTAAAAAAAGTAAAGAAAATCCATTACGTCTTCGTCATACTTACATTTTAACCATTATCCTTGATGCATGTGACACTTCATCAACCTCTTGGTGTTGCATTGTTGGCGAATCCTTTGTCAGTTGAAGTGTGTGACCTTGCTTCTTCTTCCTTACGTCATGTGAAAAGGTCGTCATCTTGAGTTCAAGGTCGGACTGAGTATTGGTCAGTTCAACCCTTAGGTTGCTCCTGTCTCAACAACATACCTCTACACAGTCTACAATGCATGAGCCTACTAAACAAGCTGGTCAAAGGGTAAACAAGAAATTTCGTCAAAATTGACATTTTTTAGTTTTTGAACGAAATTGAAACCGACTAATATGGCCCGAATCCGCCCGAGCCAGTTGAAATCTTGCCGCAATAGAGGGTCCAGCGTTCTTAAAACGACGTAACCCCTGGACTCCAGCTAAGTCCAGAGACATCCAGGGGGTCCGGTGTTCTTAAACGCTGGACCGCCCGGACTCCAGCTAAGTCCAGATACATCCAGGGGGTCCAGCATTTTAAGAACGCCAGACCCTCAAGAGCTAAAAGTTTCGACCTGAATCGGCCAGATTCGGGCCAATTTTGTCGGCTTCAATTTCATTCAAAAAATAAACGATGTCCGTTTTGATGAAATTGCTCTTAGAACTGCATCTTGCTCTTCAATCCACACCCTGGGCCAATGTTTGATGTGAAGAATAGGTTGTGCACAAGTGAGATAATGCCTGTTATTGAAGAAGAAGGAAGGACATGTAGAAGGGCTGGTGTTTAGTGTCAAGGAGATGTTTAATAAACTGCCACACTCTCCAAAACCACTTGCTTTGAGAGAGTTGGAGACGGTTCTAACAAAGAAGGGAAGGAAGCATGTGTTTGTCAGGGAGAGGGAGAGGGGGGCAGGAATATTGTTGAGAGAGAGAGAGAGAGAGAGAGAGAGAGAGAGAGAGAGAGAGAGAGAGAGAGAGAGAGAGAGAGAGAGAGAGAGAGAGTAACGGACCCACTAGGTGTGGTGCTCCGCTAGCAATAGAGATGGAGATGGAGGAAGAAGGGGGGAGCGAGATGGCACAACGCAGCTCCCCACACAATACTCCAACGCACGTACTCCAAAATGTGTCAGTGAAGAATGAATCGAAAAACAGACAATGGCTGGGGTATACCCCAGCGGGCTGATGGACTGGACTGGACTGGCTGGTACCGACAGAGGTACCGACCTGGACTGGACTGGACTGGACTGCCCCCGAATAGAACACAGGCCTGTGAGAATAGGCCAAGGGGCTGGTCTCACAGGCCAACCAGAGGTCCGCTACACGATCCTCGGCCTGTGATGGATCGCCTAGATACAAACATGCTTCCGCCGAGAAGCGAAACTCTACCAAAGAAAAAGAAAACCTGAGTAGCCTAGGATGCGGAGCAAGCTCCATGCTGAGTCCATGCGATGCAACCTAGGATAGGAAATGCCACAAAACAACAATGTCACAAAACAGCAATGTCACAGCTAACAACCTAAGTGAAAGCAAAACAACTAACTAGCATACATGTCCTAGGAAGCAAAAGCAACTAACTAGGATACATGTCCTAGGAAAGCAGAAAGTAGTGACAACTAGATCCTAGAATGTTGGAGGCAGTAGCCTCAATCTGGGAACAACTGACTAGTGTATGAGTCCTAAGAACAGCAAAAGCAGAACAACTAAATCCTAGAAATTTCAGAGGCAGTAGCCTTAGTCTGAGAGCAACAAAGCAATAAGAAGTCAATCATATGTCATAGGAGAAGTGTGTCGCAAACCAAAGGGTGGGATGGTCTCTGAGGGTGGTGAATGCAGCCTAGGGGTCAGAAACTCCTAAGGGCATCCACACATAGTGACAGGGGGAAACACATGTCATCAGGCTCAATGAGGGTAGGGAACTGGGAGCGAACAGAACCAATGACCCTAACAGATAGACCATCAGGACTGGTAATGCTCGACTAAGGGGTGACCGCTATGGAGGGTCGACCATGCAAGGGAACAAGGGAGCCCGGTATACTGGGCGCACCTAGATGAAGCATGCGGGGCTGCCTAACTAGGGCGTGAGGGCCGGCAGAGGGTAGAAAGGTGATGGGTAAGGGAATCATGCAAATGACTCCTAAGTGAGGGAAGTCGGAGCTAGATCCGTAAGATGGGAAGCCAGGGCAACGCTACGGTCCCGATGTCTATGCGTATACCAAGGGAGAGCCCAACTAAGAGGAACCCGGCTAAAGGGAGACCATCATGCGACACAAGCAGGGTACTGTACAGGGTGAAGTGGTAAGAGAGTGGCGACGTCTGAAGTTGGCAGAGCTGATCGTGACGAAGTCCATGAAGCTTCCGATGACGTCCACGATGAGAAGTCCGGAATGTCGTCGAGGAAGAGCCGCAACGTCGACGAGCTGAAGTAGCAAAACTGGAGTGGATGGAGTACTGAGAAGTCAAAGACATGGGAAGGTAAGTCAGAGTCAATCGTCGTATCGAGCAGGACGACGATGAGTGCGTTGTGGACGCTCAGAAACATCCGGCTGCTGCTGAAAGTCTGCCTCAGATGGAGCAGGCTCGACTTCAGCGGTCTCCTCAACCGGGGGAGAAGGAGGAGGGTCAGTGGGCTGAGGAGGAGCAGTGAACCCAGCACGATGAGCACGGTCATAGGCACACACCAACATGCGAGCGTGCTGCAAGTGCTCGAGGGACTCCCAGGTAGCCTCCTCATCAGGGTAACCCTTCCAACGTACGAGATACTCGACGTGGGGAGGGTTGTCGTCGGTGACTCGACGACCAATGATGTCTGAAACGAGGAACTCCTCGTGGCCATCCACCATGATAGGTGGAGGGCGCTCGTATGGTCGTCCAGCGAAACGCTCAGACGGTCTACGGTAAGGACGCAGTAACGAGATGTGGTAGACATCGTGCACACGAGTCTGGCGTAGGTAGTCGGGCAACTTCACACGGAAGCTGACCGGGCTAGATGTCGTATCAGAACCGACGGCCTGGAGGATGCGGCATGGGCCAAAGAAGCGACGCCGAAACTTGCGAAGCGTGTCCGCTTCGAGCTGTAAGTGACGGGCGTCGATAAACACATCATCACCGACTTTGAATGGATGATCCGTCCTCGATCGGTTCGCACATGCTACCATGCGAGTCTGGGAAGCGGCTATGTGCTCATGTGCGGTCTTCATGATCGACGTCATGTGTGTAACCCAATCATCCAGCGCGGGACAACTCGTGTTGGGGTGCATCTGTAACGGTCGGAGGAAGTCCGCGGGAACACGAGGGTGATAGCCGAGGTCGCAATAGTAAGGCGATATCCCCGTGGCTGGCGAGACGGCGTGGTTGTAGGCTATCCCCGCGTGGGCAAGATGAAGATCCCACTGCTGGTCGTCACGAACAATCTTTCGGAGAATATCTCCGAGAGTCCTGTTCGTGATCTCGGTCTGACCATCCGTCTGAGGATTGTAAGACGAGGAGAAGCGGAGCTGAGTGCCATAAACCTCGTGGAGCCGTCGCCAGAATCGGCTGGTAAAGTGCGGGTCACGGTCAGATATGATGCTCAGAGGTAAGCCGTGGTCACGCACGACTCGGTCAAACACGATGTCGGCGACCTCACGTGCACTGATGGCATAGCGGCACGAAACAAAGCGTGCACGCTTCGTGAAGCGGTCGACGACGACCAGGATAGCATCATGACCGCGGGGGGTCGGAGGTCGAAGAGGACCGATAAAGTCCATCGAGATGGACTGCCAACGACCCTCAGGGATAGGAAGAGGCTGAAGCAAACCATAGGGCAGGTGGTTCGCACTGTTCACCTCCTGACAGGTGGGACACTCTGCGACGTAGTCCTTCACAAAGTCCTTGCGCTTCGGCCAGACGTACAGGCGGCTCACACGAGCCAACATCTTGTGGAAGCCCATATGACCGGCGGCTGCCTGGTCATGGAACTCTGCTACTGCTCGGACACGTAGCTGTCCAGTGGAGGGAACGCAAATACGGGGCTCTCTGGTGCCCTGTGAACCATGCCAGTACACAAGACCGTTGTCCCCAAGAGAGTATTTCGGGACGGTCTTGCCACTCCGAAGGGTCGCGTGGATGTCACGATAGTCGGGGCAGTGGCGGTACTGAGTGCGAAACTCGTCGATCACCGAGTGGTGGACAGTGGTGACCGAGATGGAAGAGAGTTGGATCTGCTCCTGGTCGTGGTCAGGGCGCCGGGATAAGGCATATGCGACCCGATTAGTCTCACCCTTGATGTGCTCAGTGGTGAAACTAAAGGAGTGAGCTTCGACTTTGTCAGAAAAGCATGGACAACAGAGTTGTCCGTGCGCACCGCGAACGGTGCCCCGTGCAGGTAGTGACGCTAGTGCCGAGCGGCATAAACTACTGCGAGAACCTCACGTTCATCAGCGGTGTAGTTTATCTCGGCGGGCAGGAGCTGACGGGAGTAGAAGGCTATCGGACAATCACCTGAGCGAGACTCGACAGTGCCGTCCTCGGCGATGGTAGGAGAATAGTCAATAGAAGGCTCATCAGTAGCTGAACGAGTAGGCGTCAGTCGGGAAGCAGTGGGAGGGGTAGGTGGTGGGAAGCGAGGGATACGAGGATGAGAGGAATCAAGAGAGGAGGGAGAGACCTGAGAAAGCACTGCTCCTACAGCAAAGTCTGACGCATCGGTGATAAGGATAAAAGGGCGGTCAAAATCGGGTAGGTGAAGAACCAGTGCGCATGTCACCGCCTTCTTGAGGGCGCGGAAGGCGTCCTCGTGGAGGGGTGTCCAAGCCCAGGGTGGGTTCTTCCGGAGGAGGGTGGAGGTAAGGACGTAGGAATACCTAGCGTATCCCCGGATGAAATTGCTATAGTAGCTGGTCAGGCCTACGAAGCTGCGAAGCAGCTTGGCGGATGTGGGGGCGGGCCACTCCGCAATAGCAGTGATCTTCGCGTCGTCCATGTGGAGACCCTAGTCAGGCACGTAGTGTCCTAAGAAATCCACTTTGTGCTGGGCAAAGCGGCACTTGCTCAGCTTGGCGTA